ACAAGTTCAATGCAACTCAGGGCTGAACTTTAACTCAGGGGCCCAAAAATTATGGCCTTTTTTTTTACCTTCTTGAAGTATTTTACGTGTAGAATCTAAAAATCCTAGTTTTAAGGCGCGGAATCCATCGGTTCAGAAGTTATGCGTGTGTAAAAGTGAGCGTATTTCACGGGTTATTTCAACGCCATATTGACTTGTAGCCTGTTGCCGTCCAATCGCGTCCAATGAGTGGAGTCGCCGTCGGTAAAACAGAATTACATGAGTGGCGGCAGTTTAGACGAACTTTTGAATGAAATGTCTTTTGTCACATTTTAATAAAATGTCTTTTGTTACATTTTTCACGTGTTTTGTTTTACTACCTGTAGCTTGCATTGTTTCTCCGCCTGTACCTTGCAATTCTTATCTTTTCCTAAAGTTTTTCTTTATCATGCAAACTATTAAATGGAATTTTTACAATTTGCCTCAGTCGACAGATGCGGCTGTTGCGTGGGCTCGCGAAAATAAATTATTGCGGGTAACTAAAATGTGCCGTGTTCATCGGAAGGCGATGAAATTGTTTGCATCAGACCACAGAATTGGTCGCTTTCGATGTGTCGTTGGTCGCGACAAATGCAAACAATTTACAGCGACCATAGATTCCTTTTTTGAAGATATTCACCTGCCGTTAGACAAAGCAATAAGGTAACACTCAACTGATTTTTGTAATTTCGACGATTAATTAATACATTCTTCAAACTGTTTCTAATGTTACTTATTTTTTTAAGATTGATTTATTGCTTTTCACGAGATTTTTCGTACGAGTATACAATACACGAATTATATGATATTGAAAACAACTCCACTTTGTTATCGTCTGCAACAATTGCGGCATGGTTTCAATACTGCCGGGAAATGGTAGTGGACCATTTCTCCAGTATTCAAAATGGAAAACCGAAATTAGGTGGAGTTATGGAATCGGGGTCTCCTTCTTTTTTTTGTATGATTTCTTATTCCGTTTGATTACTGAAATTTTTATGTTATTTCAAAGATTGACGAAACAAAATTTGGTAAGAGAAAATATAACCGTGGCCGGAGAGTTGAGGGCCATTGGGTCTTAGGCATGGTGGATACATATACTAAAGATTGCCGAATGATGCTTGTGGAAAATCGTGAAGCGGCAACTTTAATTCCCATAATTAAACAAAATGTTATCGCCGGTAGTGAAATTCACACCGACTGCTTCAGAAGCTACATAGGACTTGCTGAAGAAAGCTTTATTCACACGTCAGTAAGTCATAGCGTGGAATTTGTAAGTAAATTAGTCTAAACTTGGCTTTCATTCTATTTCTATTATAATTGGAATGTTGTACTATTTCTAGGGTTAGGGTTAGGGTTAGCACAGGAGTACAGCACACCCGGTATACCTAAGGTTAGTTTTTTTTATAAATAATATCCCCTCGAATTTGATAGGAACTGACGGTACTCACACCCAAGAAATAGAGTCCAATTGGCGGCCTGCAAAGGATTGGATGCGGGGAAGAGCCCGTTTTCATGACGAAGATTTTGCTCACCGTCTTTGCGAGTACCTGTGGCGTAAGTTCTGCCGTCGAAATCAAATTGATTTGATGGAATCAATGATGGATGCCATCAGAAGACAGTATACCTTTTAACCGTTTGAATTGAATAAGGTAAGCGGAAGTCGCGGCCATTTTTAATACTCATTTCTACGGACCAATCACATTGCAGATAGAAGTCAATATGGCATCGAAATAACCTGTGAATACGCTAAAAACGCTCACTTTTACACGCGTATAACTTCTGAACCAATGAATTCCGCGCCTTAAAACTAGGATTTTTAGATTCTACACGTAAAATACTTCAAGACGGTAAAAAAAAAGGCCATAATTTTTGGACCCCTGAGGTAAAGTTTACCCCAACTCAGGGTACATACATAGGTTCTCAGTTTTGGTACATACACCCTGATTGCTCATCAGAATCTATGCGGGCCAATCCAATGATAGGTGAAAGCAATATGGCGTCAAAGTAGCGTAAAATACCCTAAAAACGCAAAACATTACACAACTTTACATACCCATAATTTTTGAACTTATATTTGTCTCTGGAATCCAAGTTTAACCCAATTTTTTTCCTATTTTTTTCAATTACGTCCACCACGAGGAAGTCCAATGTAAAAATTATTGAAATTACTTAACTCTGATTTGAAGCTAACCCGTTATATGGTCGGAAGCTGGACCAGAAACAGCAGGGAACATTCTCTTCCTTATCGACCTCGATGACGGCCACCACACGTTGTGGGATGATGGTAATGCAGGTTTGGTGGTCGGTATGATTCCCACTGTCGGTCAAGGCGTGCTGCTTTTACCTTCACTTCATCACGCGCATATAACTCATACACGGCAATTTCACAGAGTTTTCGGTACAGTCAAGAAATTAAAATAAACCTTAAGGTTTTCACAACACGTATAATATAAAACAACAACGAAACAACATAAGTCAAAACGGCGACGACGTCCAAACGCGATACACTACTAAATAAGCTTATATACTGTGCACCGATGATAAGATGTCCCATGAGAGGCATGCATTTGCATTTGTCTCATGGGACATCTTGTCATCGGTGCACTATATAAATTAAACGAATCACTAAATTGGAATTAACACTCAAACGTTCACGCGTAAACTAGACACACTATTTAAAGTGAATGCACGTCTTGCGAAGATTCAGCACAAGGGACGCGATCAAAAAACTCACGACTTCGTTCAAACGACGCGTTCAAGGCAGGAGGATGAAGAAGACAAGTGAAAATCAGAACAAATGAAATTCAGAACAACTGAATAAAAATAATAATTTAAAACTTGACCGCCGGAAGCGGAGGCGCTCAGCGACGCCACACTGTTTCGGAAACACCGGTTCGTAAGCTGTTGAGTAGTTTTCGCCATTTTCGTATAGCTAGCGCTAGGATCGAACTTAAAAAATCGTTGTTTTATGTCGGTCTTTTTAAAATGTAAGTTTGTAAAACAATTATTTTAATAATTTTTTCATCCAATATTAAAAAGAGATTCAATCTCGTTTTTATATTTAAATATACATGTAATATTTATTCTAGATAAAGAAATAAATATTTTTTCACAAATATAAAGTATACATTTATTTAATATTGGCAACAGAATATATTTTTCCGCATGTAAAATAAATGTTTGGGTAAACTTTACCTCAGGGGCCCAAAAATTATGGCCTTTTTTTTATCTTCTTGAGGTATTTAACGAGTAGAATCTAAAAATCCTAGTTTTAAGGCGCGGAATCCATCGGTTCAGAAGTTATACGTGTGTAAAGGTGAGCGTTTTTAGCGTATTTGACAGGTTATTCCCCGCATCCAATCCTTTGCCGACCACCAGTTGGACTCTATTCATTGGGTGTGAGTACCATCAGTTCCTATCAAATCCGAGGGGATATTGTTTATAAAAAAAAAAAAACTAACCTTAGGTATACCGGGTTTAGGCCGCCACTTAAGTACATAATTCTGTTTTACCGACGGCGACTCCACTCATTGGACGACACCAGGTTACAAGTCAATATGGCGTCGAAGTAACATGTAAAATATGCTAAAAACGTTCAGTTTTACACACGTATAACTTCTGAACCGATGGATTCCGCGCCTTAAAACTAGGATTTTTAGATTCTACTCGTTAAATACTTCAAGAAGATAGAAAAAAAGGGCCATAATTTTTGGGCCCCTGAGTTAAAGTTCAGCCACATTTTTCTTTACCAAAATGTAATTTGAAGCTTCGTTTTTGAGTTATTAACGAAAAACACTGGCCAATCAGAGCGCGCCCTTAGCTCGGGCCGAACCACGAGAGCGTTGGCTTTCAGCCGCGCTCGGTCGTGGTCGTGAACAAACGCATTGGCACAGCGCGGGAATCAAGGGAAGCGTGCGATAAATGTTATATCGTCTTAAATTAAGAACAATGTGGAATTATTCGTTATTCATAAATAATAAATGCGTTTGTGCCAATGCATTTGTTCACGACCACGACCGAGCGCGGCTGAAAGCCAACGCTCTCGTGGTTCGGCCCGAGCTAAAGGCGCGCTCTGATTGGCCAGTGTTTTTCGTTAATAACTCAAAAACGAAGCTTGAAACTACATTTTGGTAAAGGAAAATGTTGTTCAGAATCACCCCAGCAACCCCCCATTTCCGGGAGTTACAGGAGTTACGGGACACCCTGTATATATGTAAATACGGTATATAATTTATTTTTTTCTCTGCTTCCATAGTAGCAACAAGGAAGAGGAAAACAGATGCAACGGAACTTGAAATAAAACAATGCACTTCGTTATTTTTGGCAACAGCTCAATCTAGAATTAAGGCTTGCAATTAATGTATTTCCTTATGTTTCTGATTTATGCATAATACGGATATTTTATAACAAGATATATTTGTATCCTCTCATTAAAAACATTTTTTAAGAATGCTATTACACTTCATTACAAAAAAGTAATTTTATTTTACAAAAAAGAAATTAATTTCTAATTCTCTTCTATTGTGTTTATTATAATTTATTCGTGTAATAAACTATAATCCATTTAAAAATCATGTATCTATTAATCATGTAAAACCGTGTGTATATAAGTCTGAAAAATATAATGTTTTGACAAAAACGGTCATGGATCATTGAGGAAACAGCTTGTATTGTAATCGGTAAGTCACGAGATCATCAAATCCTACCAAAATAATAAAATTTCCCGAGTGTTTTCATAGAGTCTATAAAATTTTATAGAATATGGTATTCTATAAAATACCATATAAAATTTATTTTAATCCTTTTTTAAAATCTTTCTCAATTTTTAATATTTATTTAATATATTATATATTGTCTGAATATTCAACACATATCTCATAAATATTAATTTCACATTATCCGAATATCTTTTAAATATTTCTTTTATATTACATGAATATTTAGGCTATATTTTCTAAATATGTATCCAATATTAAACTCACATCTGTTATATGGTCGGTAGCTGGGCCAGAAACAGCAGGGAACATTCTCTTCCTTATCGACCTCGATGACGGCCACCACACGTTGTGGGATGATGGTAATGCAGGTTTGGTGGTCGGTATGATTCCCACTGTCGGTAAAGGCGTGCTGCTTTTACCTTCACTTCATCACGCGCATATAACTCATACACGGCAATTTCACAGAGTTCTCGGTACAGTCAAGGAATTAAAATAAACCTTAAGGTTTTCACAACACGTATAATATAGAACAACGAAACAACATAAGTCAAAACGGCGACGACGTCCAAACGCGATACACTACTAAATAAGCTTATATACAAATTAAACGAATCACTAAATTGGAATTAACACTTAAACGTTCACGCGTAAACTAGACACACTATTTAAAGTCGATGCACGTCTTGCGGAGATTCAGCACAAGGGACGCGATCAAAAATCTCACGACTTCGTTCAAACGACGCGTTCAATGCAGGAGGATGAAGAAGACAAGTGAAAATCAGAACACAAGCAAATCAGAACAAATGAAAATCAGAACAACTGAATAAAAATAATAACTTAAAACTTGACCGCCGGAAGCGGAAGCGCTCAGCGACGCCACACTGTTTCGAAAAAACCGGTTCGTAAGCTGTTGAGTAGTTTTCGCCAGTTTCGTATAGATGGCGCTAGGATCGAACTTAAAAAATCGTTGTTTTATGGCGGTCTTTTTAAAATGTAAGTTTGTAAAACAATTATTTTAATAATTTTTTCGGTCTTGTGCTGATTTTGACTTATTTTTCAGTTGCAATTTAATGTAGCAATTGATTTAAAATTAACGTGTAACCACCGACGAGAGACTACTACTCTTCTTTCGTCGGTGGTGTAACGCGACCACAAGCTTCAGAGTACTTAGATGGCGTTCGTTCTCGATTGGATCTGTAGTTATTGATGCAGTGATAATTATAGTCAAGTCAGTGATTAATGTTTTGAAGAAAATTTTAATGTGACTTCAACTGTAAACTCGTTATCCAGTAAGGATATTCTCTTGCAGAACCAAATAGATATTGTGAGTGGATTAAATTTTCAATAACTGATATTGTTTTCAGTGTCAAAATGGATACGTCAAACGACTCAGCCTTGTATAGGTTAGAAGGAACGGATAAAAATCAAACAGGAGGGTTGGTTATTCGAAAGAAACCCTCCGATCATACATTTAAAAAGCCTCAAGCGTCCGTTTTAGGGCTGGACAAACTAGCTAAACGAAAAAGGCAAGAAAATGCTCAAGAATCTAAATCGTTTAAATCCGAGTCAGGTTCACCAAAGTCAGAAAGCAAAGAAAGAAAATACCGTTCTTATGCTGAAGAAACTCCAACGCATACTGGTGGAGTAAATTATGAAGCGCAGAAAAGATTGGAATCGCGTTTAAAGCATCAAAGATTAAGTGCGCAGGAGAAAAATTATAGGCACGGTCATAAAGACAGAGACCGAGATAGAAATAGAGATAGAGAAAGGAGTAGAAGCAGAGACAGTAATAGACAAACGCCTTTGAGATTCAAAGATGAACCGCAAACTCCTGTATTTAAAACGAGAGTAAATATAGGAAGTTTTGTGTAACTGATACATACCTGTTATTGTTTATGAATTAACTTAATTAAATTTATATAGGATCCAACGTCTAAAAGCAATTGGGATGACGATGAAGATGAAGAACCTAGAAAATCAAGTTGGGACCATCCGACGCCAAATCTGTATAGCAGTAGAGACGGTAGAGATAGCATCAGAAGCGAATTTACACCTTCTTATAAATATAATTCCTGGATTAAAGATCGAAAAGCTAGCGGCGCTACTCCTCGTATAGACGGAGAAGAAAAAGAATTATGGGAAGAAGAACAACAAAGGTGTGTATTACAGTGTAATTTCAGTACTTCAAACAATCATGTTTCTCTTACTAATTATGAAATAAACACTCGTTTTCAGGTTAGACAGAGAATGGTACGCCTTAGACGATGGAGAAAATCATGCCTTCGCTGATGTATCCGAAGAATACACCCGTAAGAAGGAAATGGAACTCGAAGCGAAAAGGCAGAAACGTTTATCGGCACAGCAACGACAAATAAATAAAGACAATGAATTATGGGAACGTAACAGGATGTTAACGTCCGGTGTTGTGAGCTCTTTAGACCACGACGACGATCCGGATGACGAAGGAGAAACTAGAGTCCATCTTTTGGTTCACAATGTTGTTCCCCCATTTTTGGATGGTAAAATATTTCATACTGTATTTACGAGGGTGATCCCAAAAGTAAGATCTCCAATTTTTTTGGAAGTAGAAAGATACGTTTATTTTCAATAACTAATACATTATTTTAAAGCTTGAACATTCCTCTATTTTTCTACATAGTCGCTATTTCGGTCGATGCATTTTTGTAGGCGCTGTGGCAATTTTTGTATGCCCATATACCAACTTGCTGCCATATTGTTGAGGAAGCATTGGAGCTCATCTTTCATCTCGTCATCGTCGCTGAAGTGGTAATATTTCCCAAGCTGAAAGAACATTTGGCTGGAAGGCGCTTCAATGCTTCCTCGACGACATGGCAGGAAGCTAGTATGACATGGGCGTACAAAAATTGCCACAGTGGCTGCAAAAATGCATCAACCGAAATGGCGACTATGTAGAAAAATAGAGGAATGTTCAAGCTTTAAAATAATGTATCAATTGTTGAAAATAAACGTATCTTTCTACTTCTAAAAAAATTGGAGACCTTACTTTTGGGATCACCCTCGTGGTTCGATTTCTTAAGATTTCGAGGTACATTAATTCGTTTAAAAATGTTCAGGTCGAATCGTATTCACCAAGCAACCAGAACCCGTTGTACCTGTGCGTGATCCAACTTCTGACATGGCTCTTGTAGCAAGAAAGGGATCGGCATTGGTGCGAGCGTATCGCGAGCAAAAGGAACGAAAAAGAGCGCAGAAGAAACATTGGGAATTAGCTGGCACGCATATCGGTAATATTATGGGTGTACGGGACAGGCACAAGGACGACAGAGAAGAACCAGGTCAGGAAACTGATTTCAAAGCGGGTCAGAAATATGCTCGTCACATAAAAGGCGACGAGGTTACCGGAGAAGCTAAATACAGATCCATTCAGCATCAGAGGAGGAGTCTTCCTGTATTTGCTGTACGTCAAGAATTATTGAATGTTATAAGAGAGAACAGTGTTGTAGTTATTGTCGGTGAAACTGGAAGCGGAAAGACTACGCAGTTAACGCAATATCTTCACGAAGATGGTTACAGTCGTTATGGAATAATTGGTTGCACGCAACCTCGACGAGTAGCAGCTATGTCTGTGGCTAAAAGAGTTTCCGACGAAATGGCTACTACTTTGGGAGAGAAAGTTGGTTATGCTATTCGTTTCGAAGACTGTACTTCAAAAGATGTACGTATTACACCCTTTCAAGATTAATCTTTTCAAATTTAGGCGAAGCTCCCGAAAACTTGTCAAACCTGATATAACCTAATAGGTCAAACCTATTTTGAGGCACGTCGGTAATGTAGGAAATAATATTAAAATAATAAAAAAATTTTTTTCGAATCGACAAAAATTCTTCTCGCAAACATTATTTTAATGCAAAATGAAGCTATTTGCAAAATTTCAGCCAAATCGGATTTGACAGGTTTTCGGAAAAATAGCCCAAATACGATTATTCGCAAATAATTTTGTATCTTTTTTTAGACTGTTATCAAATATATGACTGATGGTATTTTACTAAGAGAAAGTTTAAGAGAGGGAGATTTGGATCGGTATAGCGTGATTATTATGGATGAAGCTCACGAGAGGTCTTTGTCTACCGATGTTTTGTTCGGATTACTTAGAGAGGTAAAGAATCATTGAGGCGTTGCAAGCAACAACGAACTAATCTTAATTCTCGAGAAACGATATCAAACAAGTTTAGTCCACTGTTGCACACAGATGTCAACAAAAAATTTCAATGCAATATGTGATTTTGTTATGTCATATGGTTTTAAATTACAAAAATTAATTTTTTCTTTTTATTAACTCAATTTCGCAAAAAATGTAGGTTAGTCCGTTTTTAGGTTAAAGTTGGATTCCAAGGACATAAATGTTTGAAAATATTGAAAACACGCAAGTTACCATGCTGAGCACAGTGAAATCATTGGTTTTTATTAAAACAAAATACGTGTAAAACAAATTCAAATAAAATATTCGATTTATCCCGCCAAAATGGCCGCGGGCCAATCAAATGATAGATCGAAGCAATATGGCGTCAACGTAACGTATAAAATACCCTAAAACCGCGAAACTTTACATATCCATAACTTCTGAACCGCTAATTTCCTAAATCTACGACCTATATTTTTGGATTCTACGGGTCGAAAACTATTAACTTATAAATAAAGAATGTAATCATTTTACGTCCTTGGAGTCCAAGTTCAGCCCGTTTTTGTTCCCAGCGCCTGAATTATAGTTGTAGTTTATACAGTGGCCCACAAAATTATTCGGTCACCGTTTAAAACAGGATACCTCATTTAAAATTGGACCAAATGACGCGAGGTTTCTCGAGTAGCTATACAAATTAATTTATTAAATGTGTTTTTGTCGTTTTAAAAAATTACAATTTGTCGAAATCGGGAAAAAAATAGTAAAAGGCAATTTTTTAACTTTTTTATTTGAGCCTGTAATGAAAATTTAAAATATGACATTTGTAAATCTAAGTATTTTATGTGTATACTGAAAATTTCATCGAGATCGGCCAATGTACTTAGAAGTTACAAGTAATAATTAAAATTTCTGAAAATCGTGACTTTTCATCTAAGAACGTGACTAGTTATGTTCTTAGAAGAAAAGTCGCGATTCCCGGAAATTTTAATTACTTGTAATTTCTAAGTGCATTGGCCGATCTCGATGAAGTTTTCAACATACACATAACTTATTTGAATCTACGAAAGACATATTTTAAATTTTCATTAGAGGCTCACATAAACTTCCCAAGAAATCTTAAACCGCATGCGGCCCGCGGAGCTAGGTCAAATGAACATAAATGTTAACTTTATTGTACACCGAGTTGCATTGAACTTGTCGCAGTAAAGTTGGCCACGCATTCACTCACCGACGCGGTGTAAATGCGTTAGTGAATGCGTGGCCAACTTCACTGCAACAAATTCAATGCAACTCAGGGATATCACCAAAAGAATATTACATCATGAGCGACGCTGTGGTCAAAGCTGTAGCACGCTTGCTTACTTTAACTAACAAAAAAAATTGGGTGCGTGGCCCGGCAGGAAATATTATTTCTGAAATTTGTCCCGCCTGCTGAAAAGATTGGCATCCCTGCCTTAAGTCATTTGGGCCAATTTTAAATGAGGTATTCTGTTTTAAACGATGAGGGAATAATTTTATGACCCACTGTAGCTGCTTATCCGAAATGTTCAAACTGCTTACATTATTTATTTACAGGTTGTGGCTAGAAGACACGATTTGAAATTGATCGTAACGTCCGCTACGATGGATTCAAGTAAATTTTCAACCTTCTTTGGAAATGCCGCAACCTTTCAAATTCCTGGCCGTACTTTTCCAGTCGAGGTGTTACACGCGAAAAATTCAGTCGAAGATTACGTGGACGCCGCGGTGAAGCAAGTTTTGCAGATTCATTTGCAACCACGTTCCGGTGACGTGTTGGTCTTCATGCCCGGTCAAGAGGACATCGAGGTTACGTGCGAGGCACTGAAGGAGCGTTTAGCAGAGATAGAATCAGCCCCACCGCTTTCGATTTTGCCTATTTATTCGCAGTTACCCTCGGATTTGCAAGCGAAAATCTTTCAGCGTTCCGAAGGAGGCCTACGAAAATGCGTGGTGGCAACAAATATAGCTGAAACATCGTTAACCGTGGATGGCATTGTATTCGTTGTAGACTCTGGTTACTGTAAATTGAAGGTATACAATCCGCGTATCGGTATGGACGCTTTACAAGTGTACCCGGTATCTAGAGCGAACGCTGATCAAAGAGCAGGAAGAGCAGGACGTACCGGTCCTGGCACTTGTTACAGATTGTATACGCGAAGACAGTATCTCGATGAATTACTGTTAACCGGTGTTCCAGAGATACAGAGAACCAACTTAGCCAACACTGTATTGTTACTAAAATCATTAGGCGTTCAGGATTTGTTAGCATTCCATTTCATGGATCCTCCGCCTCAAGATAACATACTGAACTCTTTGTATCAATTATGGATCTTAGGCGCATTAGATCACACAGGACGCCTGACACCTTTGGGACGACAAATGGCAGAATTTCCTTTAGATCCCCCTCAATGTCAAATGCTAATTGTTGCTTCCCAGCTTGGTTGCACCGCGGATATACTGATCATAGTTTCTATGTTATCGGTGCCCTCGATATTCTATCGGCCAAAAGGTCGGGAAGAAGATTCCGATTCGGCGAGAGAAAAATTTCAAGTACCAGAATCTGATCATCTAACGTACTTGAACGTGTACAATCAATGGAAAGCTAATGGCTATTCCAGTTCATGGTGCAACGACCACTTCATACACGCCAAGGCTATGCGTAAAGTAAGAGAAGTCCGACAGCAGTTGGAAGAAATTTTGAAGCAACAGAAAATGGAAGTCGTAAGCTGCGGCACCGACTGGGACGTTGTAAGGAAATGTATTTGTTCCGCGTACTTCCATCAAGCGGCTCGTTTAAAAGGAATCGGTGAATACGTGAATTGCCGTACGGGAATGCCGTGTCATCTTCATCCAACCTCGGCGCTGTTTGGTATGGGATTCACGCCGGATTACGTGGTGTATCACGAGCTCGTAATGACCGCCAAAGAGTACATGCAGTGTGTCACTGCCGTTGATGGACACTGGCTAGCCGAATTAGGTCCTATGTTCTTTAGTGTAAAAGAAACGGGTAGAAGCGGACGTGCAAAAAGACGTCAGGCGATGCAACATTTGCATGAAATGGAGGGACAAATGAAGGAAGCCGAGGAAGAAATGAAAGCGCGAGCACAAGAACAGCTTGAACGAGAACAAGCTTCCATTAGAAAGTAAGTTCTTATTTGTCGATACATTTTCTCTCCTTTCAATTAATTTACTAACTAGGTTCGACCCGCTCGTCCCCTGAAAAATTTGCATTTTTAAAATAGATAGATCGTCAAAGTCTGAAAAAGCTATTGTTAGACGCGCATGCGCTGAATAGTACCAATGCGCATGCGTTGAATAGTATTACCAGCGCGGCACTTTTTCAAAGATATTACGCACTGTTGGGGGCATGCGTGTGCTGCTAAAATGTGCGACCCATAGACTTTCTATAGGAAATGAAAACCCCATTAAATTTTCACTCCGACCACTTAGACGCACAAATGCAATGGTTTTGAGCTAGTCTTAGTGAAACCTTTCTAACAACGTATAGAGCAAGGATGAGCAACCCGCGGCTCGCCACACTTTCTCGTGCGGCCCTTCAAAAATTTTACATTTTGACTTTTAAAAATTCCTAGTGTCCCGCAGCCTCATTGTATCCTAGGCGTGTTAACTTAATTTTTGGAAATGATGCCGACATCATAGATAGGCATTGATGCTATCATTTCCAAAAGTTAAGCTTATTTTGTTTATAAAGAGATAATTTGAGTTCATCATTCAGTGTTTGTATTATCATAAGTTTCTTACATGTGGCCCGCAGAACATTTAGTTATACAAACTTTAATATTAATTTTATAAATTTTGTCATATATTTTTTTTGTCATATATGTGAAGGGGCCCTTTTTCGGAGCTCGCCTCGAACCCCCAAAATCTCAGGGCCCGCTCTACTCTAACCCCAATAGTTCTCGAATTGAAAAGTAACACGGACAGACGGCTTGGCACTTTATATATAAAAATATTTATTTTTGCAGGCAAGAAATATTGACACCAGGAATCCGAGAACCCGGAACGCCTGCTCCATATCGCAAAACTCCAGGAAGACTAGGATTATAATTGTATATAGTTCAAGAATTTGTAAATAGTCTAAACTATATGTATGTTCAACATATTACTTTGTCTCAGTTATCTTTTTATATATACATATATATATATAAATGGTGTAAAAATAATAAAGAATGAAATGGTTTTTTGTATCAACATTTTTTATTCGTATAGAGACGCTTCATACCAGTCATTTATATTATACCAATCTTATTGGCAACATCAAGTGCATCATAATCACGAGTTAATCGTACGTACGCCTTTTTCTTACCATCAGGTCCAATTAATGTGTTAACTTTAGCCACGTCAACGTCATATAACTTCTTGATCGATGATTTGATGTGGTATTTGTTAGCAAGAGTATGTACAATAAAAACTAAAGTATTGTTGTCTTCAATCTTTTTCATAGCAGCTTCGGTGGTTAGGGGAAATTTGATGATATTGAATGCATCCATACTAAAAAAAAATGAAAACAATTTTATGAAATTAAAATTCATAAACAAGGGTATAAGGTTACAGAACTTTTTAATACTCACCGATTTCTGCTTGGGACACATTTTCGTGGGTATTTTGGATTCCTCGGTGGCCTGAAAGTCTTGGGACGATGAAAGTGGACAGATGTCCTTATTTTCCTTACTCTGGATCCATGGACACCTTTCAATATCTGCACATAAATTATAATAATCAAGTTACATTGCAGAAGTTAATTATTTTAAATAACATGCCATATGTATTAACCTTTTTCTGAGCTTTAAGAGCTTTCTGAAGCGGCGCAGCTGATTTTCCACCCTTAGGTGTTTTCTTCGCAGGCTGAGTAGGTTTCTTAGGTTTGGCAGCCACTGGTTTAGCAGCAACTTTAGGTGCAGCCTTTGCAGCTGGTTTCGCTGCAGGCTTTGTAGCGCTTGCTGATTTTGCTGGTGCTGCTTTCTTTGCAGCAGTAGCTGGTTTTGCTGCTGGTTTTGTTACTTTTGACGTCGAAGCAGCTGTCGCTGGTTTCTTCTCAGTCTTCTTTTCTGCCTTCTTTTCAGACGATTTGCCTGCTAAAATTACAAGATGTCATCCTTCAATCACTAAGCATTTTTAGGTTAGAAAAATACACACAAATTATAAAGAAAAATCTTCCCACCGAGCAACGTTTTACAGATCTACAGTTTCAATATATACAACGAACATTCAAAAAATGCATAAATATTAAATAATTGTACAAATATTAACGTTTTTTTCAAGTATAGACACAACATAAACGAAGGAGCACATGGTCAATATTTGACACGTGTTTATTTGATCAAGTTATACTTTATTAATTAATATATTTCTGCCAATAATTTGTTGTAAATGTATACGATGTCTTCAAGTGTTTCAAAGAAAAATCAAGTTTCATCAACAATTTTCAAATGTACCTGCTTTATCCGTGGGCTTCGCTTTGGGAGCCATTTTGCTAAAAAGAAGGAAAACTTTAACCGGAAGGAGACATGTAGAGATTCGTTGAACTACGTGAATCGTTGATGTATAAATTTATTGCTACAAAATAGATCAATTCAAATTATACAATTTATTTTCCATTTCAACATGAATCATATTCAGAATCGCTGTATCTACATAAATATAATATTAATATAATAGAATATAATATTAATATAATAGAATATAATATCAATTTTACATGTTAGAAATGATACGTTTAGGAATCACATTTTATGTATTAGAAATTTGATTTAGAATAGAGCAGGTGCTGTACATCTGCCGTAGCAACCAGTGTTTTTCCTTAGTTTAAAAGCATTTTTACCGATATTACAGACAGTTTGATGCATGGTAAGTTTGCAGTTATACAATTGTCAGAGAAAGGTAACGTTAAGTGAAATTGTAAATAATGTTAGAAACGCGTTCGGCCGTTTATAAAATGATAGAGGTGGCGCGTGAAGAGAGACAGGTATGATGTATGTATGTGTATATAGTTCAAAATAAAGAAATAAAAAAAAAGTTTCTGAAATAATAAATAAAATTATTCTAAATTTTGTATTCAAATTATTTTTTAAAAATATTTTTATAAATTTATTAAAAACATTAGGATAAATTCTCCTCTTATCGTTAGACTACCACATTTATCTAATGGCAAAAATACCTATATAAATGTTTAAATAAATAAATAAATAAGGACAATACGTAACAAAGTACTTACTTTTATTAATATCTCTCTTTTTCAGATTAATAACTGGCCACCACCATTTTCCTCAGAAATTACATTATACCAGGAAAGAAATTTTCATACAGTTGTTAGACGTTCGTGCATGAGGAAATGTTTAACATTAAAGATTTCCAAGGCAATTGTAATTGGAGATGTTTCCGTTGGAAAATCATGTTTAATAAATAGGTAATAATGATGGATATAATTATTATGAATAGATGACAAAGAAAATATGAATTCTGTTTATACCATAGATTTTGTCACAAAATATTTGATAACAATTATAAAGCAACGATTGGCGTGGATTTCGAGGTAGAAAGATTTGATATTCTTGGTATACCATTTCACTTACAAATGTAAGTTAAAAATATATTTCGTTAATTTGATGCTCCATAACAATTTTAAAGTAAGTAATTGCTTATTATTTTAGATGGGACACAGCTGGTCAAGAAAGATTTAAATCCATAGCTGCATCTTATTACAGAGGCGCAAACGGTACAAGAAATGTTATCATTATTAACCAGGGCCGGTCCTGTTGAAAGGCCATATTGCAATTATTCTAAATCTAAAATTGCACTTATTAATGATGCTTTGAAAGGCCATATTGTAATTATTCTAAATCCAAAATTGCAATTATTAATGATTCTTCGAAAGACCATTTTGCAATTATGCCGGCCCTGGGCTTAGGTAGATTAGGCGGCCGCCTAGGGCCCTCGCAAGGTCCAGGGCCCCCATAAGACGATTTTGCGTCTAAGTATGCAAGAAGAGTAATATTTACTTAAATATTAATCTAAATTAGTTATACAAGCTTTAATTTTAATTTTATAAATTTTATTTGAGTTACTTTTTTTATGTCATATATGTGAAAGGGCCCTTTTTCGGAGCTCGCCTTGGACCCCCGAAATCTCAGGGGCGATCCTGTTATTAACGTTTATATTTGTAAATAAATTCTTGTATTTTTTAGTGATTATGATCGTGTTTGACTTGGCTAACTTGGTATCTTTGGGACACTGTCAACAATGGTTCAATGAAGCTGCTCAATGCAATACAGAACCGTATTATGTATTTTTGATAGGCACGAAACGAGATTTATTGGTAAATCTACTTTATTCGGTTTACATTTCACAGACATTTGACACAATTATTTTTTCCAGTCCAATCAAGTATACGAAATAATTGAAAAACGAGCAGCAGAAATGGCGCGAAAATTAAATGCCGAATTCTGGGCGGTTTCCGCAAGAACAGGAGATGGAGTATCAGAATTATTCGCAAGAGCAGCTGTATTGTCCTTTCAAAGTATGGTTTTAAATGAATGTGAAAGTATGAAACCGGAATCAATTAACATTGGTTCAGATCTAATAAGTAAGTAGTATTATAATATAATCTTTAATTATAGTTACAATAAGAATTATGAAATATGTTTCTTTCAGCATTAAATCCTGATAAAGAAAGAACTAAAAGAAAGAGCAGGAGAAATAGATGCTTCGATTGCACGAATTTAGTGATTGAATATTAAGCAAGCAGAAATTTTAATTTTGGCTCCACTTCATCTTAGGGGACCAAAAATTGTTGGTTAAAAAATATTAAATCTTATAGTTTTCGACCTAAAACATTCGAAAATGCAAGTTAAAAGTTAAGGAAATCACTTGTTTAAAAAATACGATTATGTGAAAAAAGTGTATTTAGCGTACTTTGACAGGTTAGTACGACGCCATATTGCTTCTACCCATCTTCTGATTGGTTCGCATATCTCGGCTTGGTTAGGCTAGATCAAAATTTATATGTTTTTAAATAAGGTAACCGGAAGTTACAGTCATTTCAGCGAACTAATCAGAAAATGCGTAGAAACAATATGGCGTCGTACTAACCTGTCAAAGTCCGATAAATACCCTTTTTTCACATAATCGTATTTTTTAAACAAGTGATTTCCTAAACTTTTAACTTGCATTTTCGAATGTTTCAGATCGAAAACTATAAGATTTGATATTTCTTAACCAAAAATTTTTATCCCCTAAAACGAAGTTTGACCTTAATTTTAAACAAGTATAAAATATTTATGGTAACTGATATATATATATATGAAATAATGCTTATAATTGTACATAGCAAATATAAAATGAAAAAGTCAATTTCAGTAATGCTAACACAATTTAAATAAACCGCGCACAATATAATCTTCCGGTTAGGTGTTGGTGAGCTCATCCGACAATGTTTCTTCGTTCTTCGCGTTATTCCATCCTCTTTCTTCAACTTAGATTAGCTGAGATATCCGATATAACCGGAAAAGATACGTCCTGCTAACAATCGATATGGTAGTCGGCAACACGATCGGATTGGAAGAGATCGTTTTGTTCGTTCGATGCCGACGTGTCTAATACGCATACTCTGTTACACACAATACATACACTGTACATACGCAGATCTTCACCACGGTGTAACCAGTGCGAGTCCAACGCTTTTTACGCAAGTTCAACGTACTGAGAGAAAGAATTGAAAGAAGAGTAAAGTGTTGTCACGTGGTTTACTGCCTGCCTTGGATCTTGTTCTAGAAAAGATTTTACTGGAAAAAGTACAACAGATTCATCATTCAAATTTAATTCGATCGAAGACCGAATTCTTCAAGTAAGTGTATGCATACAAATACATTCTAACAGGTGGTAGTGATAGTAGTGGTGGTAGTAGTACTAGCAGTTACTGTATAGTGCGCAAAAGATCATTGATCAAGATAAATAGTTACATATATGATAACCAGAATGACAGCTTTTCAGTATTGTGTTGACAATTTTTGAAGTGTCTTAATATCATAGATGTGATAAATATTTTTATTTGTATTAGATTCATTTGAATTAATATTAAAAATATGTGTTACTGTATTAGTATATCTTGGTGCATTAAAATTAAATAATGAATATAGAATTTTATTTGTAACTGTATAATGAAGAATAATGATATAGAAATGCTTACTGTAATATATGATTCAAAATTCTGCGTAAAAGTGTGTATTATGTACAAATGAAATAATCATGTAATTTAAATTAAGATTCTTTTTCTATAACATTATATTTAGTATTAATATACATGGAAGTACTAATTTCATTACATATTCGAAGTAAAAAAGTTCTTTTTTATCTTATTAGAATAGTTTAGTTAATGTTAAGCTTCTTGTATAAGATTTATAGCTTAGTCAAAGAAGTAATATTAATATTTTAATTCTTTCTTACAAGTAGTCTGATTATGAGACTTGAATAGATAAATATAACCTTATCTTTATACATGTGCAGACTACTCGATCATGAATATTCATTATCAGTAGTACATTAAATGTGAACCTTTAATGAAAGAAAATTTGTTTTAAATATTGAAATATAACAAAAATAAAAATAGAAATTATATTTATCCTTTGATAATTTAGATAATTAATTAAACATCATTATTCGCAAATATTTGAAAATAACAAAACAAGAATGTTAGAATAGATTCATTTCATTTCTGTTAAAATACATATATGATGTGTGCTGCTGTCGCACATACTAATGATAATATTGTTAAATCAAATTGAATAATACATAAGATCAAAGATCACGATTGAAAGACGGTTTTACACTTGAAATCATTTGTTCTAAAAACATTTGTATCGAATTCGTCAAGAACAAAATAAAACTTGTCTACGAAAGTAATGTTACAAATTAACTAAATTTGCTTCTGTATCGTTAATTATTTATGCTTCAAACTGAAATAGAAGGTTCCTAAAATGTTAAGTGGTAATCAATTTTTCAAAAAATCCACTTAAATTTGCAATTGTTTTGCATGACAGTGACGTAAATGTGACATAAGCAGAACATGATAATGAAACGATTGCGTGAGTAATAATAACGGTATTTTTTTTCCTACAAACAAGTTTTTTCTTTCTGCTGATATGTAATATTAAATCAATCCAAACTAGAACATACTAAGTGATAATATACATACGTAGTTTGAAACAGTAACAAATTAATTCGGTACCGATAACATTACGCCTTCTTAATTACTATTTTAAATTTGAATATTTTCCCGCGCTTCTGTGTACTCGAAAAATGGCGCCAGAATGTAATAACAATAAAAATTACTTTAAAAACTGAAGTTAGGTTAGGTTAGCACAACTTTTTGAAAGTAAATCTTCAATTAAAAAATAGAAAAATTACATAATTGAATTGTACACCTAATAATTAAAATAACTAATTATATCGTTACTTAAACAGTGTAAATAGACCGAGTCTAATTACGATCGAAGCGATTTGATTTCCTCTCTCTTGTAACGCCTATTTCATATCGATTACCCATGATCATAATTAAAATTATTCAGTTTTGAAGATTCCGACGTCAAAAGCTGTTTTACGTTGCTGTTATGATTCAGACCTACTCTACGTAATATTAATGCCCCTATCAAACATTTATGAGCGAATACGATAATCAAAATTAAGCCATCCAATCAGTGACACGTGTCCTAGGTTTTAATTCATTGTTGTATTAATCATCAAATACGGAAATAATATTATATTTTGGAAAAAGAAGAGAAATAATAAGCAGTAAAATATTCACATGTACTACCAGCCCAGTATTTCCACTTCTAAGAAAAAAAATATTTGTAATGTTTAACTTAACAGTTAAAAAGTATATAGACAGTTATCTGAAAAAAATAGCAGGCTTGAAATGAAACGTATATACATACAGATAAGAAAACATAATAGATAAAAAGAAAAATAGTAGAACATCACTATGAATATTTTCATTGGGTAAAATATTATTTTTTTATAACCTCAACAGTTACAAAATAAGAGAATTATCATAAAATTTTTCGAAAGACCAAAATGCATGTTTCACCTTACAAAGGGCAACAAATTAAATGGTCAGTATTTTATTACCAAAATGGTCAGTATAAAAATACTAAACGGTCAGTATAAAAATACTAAGCGGTTAAGTTAGGTTAGATTAGGTTAGTACATAAATAGCGAATGGTCAGTATGGAAGGATACTGACCAAAGGATTTAAATACCGACCCTTCATATTTAAATACTGATAAAAAGAGATTAAAGTACAAGCCCTTACAAAATGACGTTTTGCTTTCATTACATCAAGCTTTGATGCAATTAAAAATTATCACTTTATAATATGGTCGATTACGAATTTAATGTTCCACTTCCGGGGCTGCTAATTCAAACCTTACAATTAAGGGTTTGATTATGAGTGGAAAACAGATCTCTCAAGTCATACGTATGAAAAGTAGAAAAAGGTCATCATAACTCAGCACTTATTATGTATTTCCTCTTTTTCTTAGTAAATCATGTAATATGTCTTGGAATATTACGTCGTTGCGTTACGTTTTCAAATACAGTCACTTAAGAAAGTGTACTGTACAATCAAAATAAACTATGTATAATAACAGCCAGTACTGTGTGTTGTCTTTGACGCTTGTGTAATCATACAAAGCAACACGATAAGATGCAGACGAAATCTCATCGTATGACTCAATTTTTTCTTTTCACCTTTCACTTTCTCCGTGCAGATTTTGTAAGTACATACAATTCCTGTTTGCGTTGCTGCATTTTCTCCGCATTGGTACTTTCACGGAAGAGCGATAATTCAGCTTTCTAGCTTTCCATAATACGCACACGTTGGATCGTTCCTTTTATATGTTGACTAGCTCTCATAAACAAAAACTTGGAGAATTTGAAGTAATAATTGATGTATTATTTTTTGCTGATCAATCTCTAGTATTTCAGAAAAGCATTGCTGCCTGCAGAAACAGTAGAAAAGCGGCGTTCCCATACTAACGCGTACGGATAGGCAGAATTCAATGCGATGGTTTCGACAGTTTTTCGAAAATATCTCAAAAACTAAGACCGAGCGGCGGTTATATGTATAGGAAAAAGTTGTTCAAAATGTTGATTTCTATAACATATTTAAAAATCATCGAAATCGGAGGTGCCGTCCGTAATCTAAATAATTACCTCCACCCCTGAATCTAGATTTGCGCCTTTAGAGGTTGATTAGAACAAAATCCTGAATTATGTTTTTAATCATTTGTATGGGTGACCTTTGTAAGCAAAAACCAAGTCGATATCTCATTGGGCCTAAGAGATATTTACGAATCCGTGTAAATAGATTTTAACCCTTTTTACACTCTTAAGGGTCGAATTTCTAAAAATCCCTTCTTAGTGGGTGCTTACGTCATGAGAGGAATACACTACCCGAATTTCATGTTTCCAGGTTCAGGGGTTTGGGCTGGGCGTTGATGAGTCAATCAGGACATTTGCCTTTGTATATATAGATATGATCTTGTCGTTAATGATTAATCGATACACTCCAAAAATAAGTACATATGTCCTCCTTTTCGCTGAACTGATCCATCGTATCTGAAATACAATTTCAAGAAAATATTTTAAGCTATGAATCAACAAGTTAAGTTCAAATTTAATTTGAAGTCATTTTTATTCCAAGATTAAAAACAAATATGACTCATATTTGAAAACATTATGGTAGTAAATAATTATCACTAGTTCTATTTAAACTGTTATCCTGAAATTAAATAAATAAATAATAAAAAAATTAAATAAATAAAAAAGTGATTAAATAAATCTTTCTAAATCATGATAGATTCCCTGTAATCTTTTTTTAAAACCATACAGGGTGAGTCATAACTCCTATAACACCTTAAAGTGGGGGATTGCTGGCGTGATTCTGAACAACTTTTTCCTTTGCCAAAATGTTGGTTGAAGCTTCGTTTTTGAATTATTAACGAAAATCACTAGCCAATGGGGGATCGCGTAGAGCGCGCGCATAACCACGAGAGCGTTGGCTTTGACAATGAGCCGCGCTCGGTCGTGAACAAACACATTGGCAGAGCGTGGGTATCGAGGGAAGCATGCGACAAATGGGTATACTTCCGAAAGGCTCCATCACCCCAGGACAACCAAACTTCGGATATATAGTAATTGAGGGACGAGAAATCGAATGAGACCATTTTCACAACTGGCAAATAAACCGTTCTCGAGATATACAGGGTATTCTAAAAGTGCGGAAACCCCCTATTACCTCAATAAGAACGCATTTTCACGGAAAATGACTAACTTAACCTAGGTTAGGGTTAGGGTTAGGGTTAGGTTAGTGTAGCGGAAACCCCCTATTACCTCGATAAGAACGCATTTTCACGGAAAATGACTAACCTAACCTAACCTAGGTTAGGGTTAGGGTTAGGATTAGGTTAGTGTAGCGGAAACCCCCTATTACCTCGATAAGAACGCATTTTCACCGAAAATGACTAATCTAACCTAGGTTAGGGTTAGGTTAGTCATTTTCCGTGAAAATGCGTTCTTATCGAGGTAATAGGGGGTTTCCGCACTTTTAGAATACCCTGTATATCTCGGGAACGGTTTATTTGCCAGTTCTGAAAATGGTCTCATTCGATTTCTCGTCCCTCAATTACTATAAATCCGAAGTTTGGTTGTCCTAGGGTGGGGGGGCCTTTCGGAAGTATACCCGTAGAATTATTCGTTCTTCATGAATAACGAATGCGTTTGTGCCAATGCGTTTGTTCACGACTACGACCGAGCGCGGTTTAGAGCCAACACTCTCTTTGGCCAGTG